AAAGTCCCATAGGTGAACCTTTTTTTTCCTTGTTAGAGAGATCCTAGCCTTATCTTCATCAAATCCCTCTAATTATTATCTTTAATTTTATGTCCTTTAACTTTTTCCTACAGGAGGTTGTTCTTACCTAAAGCACTCTCCCGTTTATATCCTCAGCAAGCTCAGGGTCTCTATTAATTTTTTATCATTCCCCAAAGTATCTATAGTTTTCGTACTTAGTGGATTGACACCCACCATCCGCTCCCCCACCTCTATCATCAATTGACTTACCGTGAGGGCACGGGTGTGCAGCCTATAGTTTGTTTGTTGATGTGGTTGGGGAATGGTAAGGTAGTGATTATGTTGTGTGTATGTTTTGTCATGTTCGCTATACACAACTCGAAGAGTGTGTGTGTGCGTGTGTGCACATGTGTATGTGAAAGTGAATGAGTGTATGTGTGTGTGTGTGTGTGTGTGTGTGTGTGTGTGTGTGAGAGAGAGAGAGCCCTGCAACAAGCAGCATGTCAGTGGTTGGGAGCACAAGGGCATGCGCTGACCTAAAAAAAAAAAAAAAACAGAAAAGATAATGTTCTATTTAAATACAATAGTTTTTTATTTTCAAAATTCAAATAGAAGGGTATATGTTGTATTCAAATGCAATGCGTACATGTACTATTCAAAGTGTTCTTCTTTTCGACAAAAGCGGACCCACACCGTTTCGATTTTGAAATGTTCAAAACTCAAGGACCGTGGCCTCATCGGCCTCCCACGACGTTTCGATTTTGAAATGTCCAACTCAAGGACCGAGGTCTCATCGGCCTCCAATAGGCAGCTACCGGTCCTTCGCAAGCCCCGGCCCTTGCTAAGCCCTCACCTCAAAATTGCCCACCCTCCCGAACGACCACCGATGTTGAAAGTTGATTTGACGTTGAACGTCTCAAAGGCATAAAACGTAACCCCGACGAGCTGCGAACTAGACCTACTCTTGACTATTTTAATCTTACTTTGTTCTCCATGAAGGTAGCAAACTAGCCTCACCCCTTGAGAGCCTCTAGGGTCGACTCCCCAACGATATCCTCCACTAGAGCCTATAGCACCTCTACTCTTACGAATGGAACCCCTAAGACATCCCCTATTGCAGGTTCCCCACCGATATCCTCCAATGGAGTCTTGTCTTACCTATCCTCCCCCTAGCGGAGTCCCCGATTGAATCCCACCTGTAGCCCATGCCCCCCCAACACAAAGCCCTAAGGTAGCCAATTATACGTGACCAATCTCCCACAACCCTTGTTTGCATCGCCATAATTTTTGAACTTTCTTCAGTTATTTGCAGCCTTAAGGTTGCGGTATAGTGGGCTTCGGTGTTTGTGTAATGGTATCGTATTTTTTTCGGCGGGCGACCAGGACGCAAAGTGGGTTCTTAGAGGGCAAAAAAAATTGTCTACCGCGTGGGCGCGGGGAACGCAGCCCTAAGGTAGCCAAATCAATGAGACTAAGAGCTAACACGAGAGAGAGAGAGAGAGAGAGAGAGAGAGAGAGAGAGAGAGAGAGAGACAGACAGACGGACAGACAGACAGACAGACAGAGAGAAAGAGAGAGAGAGAGAGAGAGATAATTTTTTTTCATTTATTGTTATGAGTGTGAGAGAGAGAGAGAAATAGAGAGAGAGGGAGGGGCGGGGGCTACCAGAGAGAGAGAGAGAGAGAGAGAGAGAGAGAGAGAGAGAGAAAGATAAACACATGCAAATGTAGACAGAACGTGCGAGGTTTTACTTTCACAGCATGCACGTAATGTCCATGGCATGCGAGACCAGTCGCGATTACCCTTCTACCTCACTGCTCAGGTAATCATTTCAGCCACTATCCCCAGTATTCCTACCCTTCGTTCCCAGTCCTTCTCCGCCACTTTCCCTATCCTTGCAGTGTACTCATCATCTATCCTCAAGATCTCCCGCAGTCGCTCTCTGTGTTGTCCTTGTCGTCGTCGATTTCCAACATGCCTTCAACCTGGAGCTACTTTCATCATATATTATGATTCTGTTCGGTGATTTATTTCGTCACCCTTGTTTCCGGATATGTTCATTCCGTGTTCGCGTTGTCTGATACGATTTCAAGTTTTAGAGATTGGTGGTAGCATGTTTGAAAAGATTCCAGACATTCCAACTCTTTCGTTTGATCTTCCTTACTTGTTATTATGATCATCATTACATCGTCCACAAAACTCATATCGTGGATAAGTTTCTTATCAATTCCAGTCTGCGCACACCATCTGTACTCGTCGAACGCGCATACCATGTTGGCAATGGGTAGGCTAGAGCTCTTCCCCATTGGTATCCCTGTTACTTGGCATAATAATGTTCCTTGTACTTTGAAGTTTGAAGTATGCGTTTTTGATGTCATAGTACAACAGATCCATTAGACACTCAATTTTTAATGTTCTTCATCCGTAGGTTCCGTTTGCTTTTCCAAAGTTCATGTACTTTCCTCTCATCTTGTAACAGAAGTGGGTTTTTCGTTTTTCTTTCGTCGTTTTTATCATTTATTGCATGACGTTTAAGATATGTGTGTGATCGAGATTCGAAAACATATCTTTGACATCGTATGTGGAGCACATTATTGTAGCCATATCCCCGTATGTTTCTTTTGCTACTTGATTGCATTTCTTCAGTCTAGGTAGTAGTTGGTTCGTTCCTTTTAGTGAGAAACCAACTTTCAATGCTTGACAAATGAAGTTGATAGCTCTTGATAGTACCTTCGATGCTTTCCGAGATGACTCCTTATATGTCGACACAATGTGTTGGCGTCTGGTGACGTCCTTGTTTTTTGGAATTGTATACACATTTTCGTATGATCCCTGTTCATCCCATTCTGCGATTTTCTTCAGCCCTCATCCATGATACGTATTTTTGGCCAATTGAGTGATCTCAGATTCCGTTTGTTGTATAATTTCGTAGTGATTCGATTCCGAAAAGAATTTTCAGGTCTTCTCATACCAGATTTTACGGCATTCCACAAAAGTTTCTCCATGATTTATGTCTAATGGTGATAGAATACATTGTGTCAATCTTCTTTTTACTTCCCATACTTCTGATATGTGAAGAAAAATCTTCATATCATTCTTCTTTTCGATGCAAGTAGAGACATCTATTTTAATTTCTCTTTTTTTCCTTAGTGGTCGTGGTATACTTGCAATGGTAGTGATGATTGTCCTTCTAATTTCTTCCTTTCCAATTCTTTCGTTCATATGGGGTACGTTTTTTGCATTCCACAAGAGCTGATTTTCTGTGATTTCACCTAGGTAGCAAATCCGGATATCCGGCAGACCAATTTTATACGAAATTTTCAATCCGGATGAAATTTCCGGATTAATTCCGGATATGGAAAATCCGGCCCTGCGCGAAAAAAAAAAAAAAAAAAAAAAAAAAAAAAAAAAAAAAAAAAAAAAAAAAAAATCTGGAAAAAAAAATATGTTGTTCATATCAATGATATGAACAACTTTTGGCTTGAGGCCATCTTTGATTACTCAACAGGTATGAAGATAAAAAATAAAACAGCATAAAAAAATAATATTTAGGTAAAAAATTATAAACATCCCCCCTCTAAACCCCTTTATTCCCTATCTTATCCCCTTTGAACCCTTCCAGGTCCTATCAAGCTCTTCATGAAATAGGAACGTAGTTTTATTGTATTTTGCATGCGCAATATCACTTTTTTTTTTTTTTTTTTTTTTTAGTCCTTTTTTTCAATCATCCGGATTCCCGGATGATCCTACCCCCCGATCATCCGGCCAGATAATCCGACCAGATTATCCGGCCTGATAACCCATACTACCTAGGATTTCACTTAATCTGCAGGCAATGTGGTTCTCAATTTTTGGAAGTCGGGATACAGCACAATTACAGTCCGGTGCTTGTGTAAGCACCTGTCTGTGATTGTGTAATATTTCCCCTATTGTCTTTGATTTTTTAAACAGCACACGCATCCGAGCTGTCAAATCGTTTGCCAAATTGTTATTACTTACGTTTTCCAAGATAGACTCGGTTGTTTTGTTTCTCACTTGCTTCAGATTAATGCATGCATCAAATGAAATCTTAAAAATCAGCCTTCTCTTGATATTGAATGCAAACTTCTTCTTTGAAATTCGTGTGAAGATGTATTTAATTGTTCGTTTTTGCTTCTTTTCGGTAATCGATCCCACCTTTGACAGAAGAATCAGTATATCATCTAACGATAATTTATACAGTTCCCTCCATCTCCATGGTGTCCTCAAGCAGTTAATCAGAATATTTCTATGTTTGTTTGTTTTCGGTTTCGTATGCATCAGTTGGATCACATAGAAGATACATTCATTTTCGAATCGTTTTCTGCATTTTTTTAGCTGAAACTTTGCGTTGTGAATTTCCACAATTGTTGATCCGAATGTTCGTTTAATTACTTTCCATTTTTCATTCCATAGTTTTCCAGCTGTGCAGTAAATCATTGCTTTCGGTTGAAGTATTGATGTTACCTTCGTAGTTTAACCTGATCGAACCGATTTAAACAAAACAATGTTCCTCTTTTTCCTTCTTCGTCTTCGGTTTTTTCGAGTCTTTCTGCCTTTTCCCCTTGTATTCAAGAATGGATTCAGTCTCTTAATCAGTGTTGCCTCCATCCCTATCACCTCTGATTTCACTCCCGTCCAAATGGGTATCAGAACATATTTCTCCCAATCAAATTTGTGCAGCCAACTGTATAGTTTCCGTTGTGCTTCTCTATTTGAATTCTTGGCCAAGTTTATGTGTTCAGTCCATCTCTTGTCGGGTTGTCTTCTTGTCCTTCCCACGTACATATGTTTACACCAAAGTGAAACTCCCTGTACTAACTAGTTGCTCAATTTCCGTTGATAGCCTGTGTATCTGCTCCCACTTCTGTGTCGTGGTGAGGTCGCCTGATGATGAGGTGTCTTCTACCTTCCCGATATATCTTCGGCGCTCGAAGATGTATCAGATGAGTCATACTCATCACTCCCGCTTGATCTTGTACTAAGGCTCTCGTAATCATCCTCACTTGTGTCGCCGCCAGTTGTATTGGACACTCTGATGTTATCTGGATCTGGCATGATCTGTGTTTCAAGATCAGAATCCCGGTTGAAGTCCCGCCCCTTGTAGGCGATCAATCCAGGAACTTGCCTCAATGTCGAGATCGCTTGCAGCTTGTCCTTGTACCTGATGTCATGCATCTTGCATAAGAGCTTCAGGTCCATGTAGTGAAGACCAAGGAGTTGCATGTCCGTCATCGGTTCGACCCCGAAATTAATGCTCCATTCTGCCTTCGACTTCGCTGCCGACACGTTGCGATTAATCTTCGTTCGTCCTCTCTTGGGGTGTGGAGGGATTACGCGTCCCAATCTGCTTTTGTTCGGTGCGCTTCTGCTTGGCATACTTCGGCTCGGAATGTTGTGGGTACCATGTACTGAAGTTGGTAGTCCAGCCATTGTTCCCCACATATCCGTTTGGATGAATCGAAGAGGATACGATCGGAGTGCAGGTACGAGTCGGTTCATTGATCTTCTGCAACGCGCCCTTCACAACCGCCAGATCATACTTTAGTAGCTTCAGGTTGTTGACCTCCTTCTGCACTTCCGATACCATCCTTTCTACTTTATCTTCCGCCTCTGCAGTCTTCTGACCGGTTGCGCTTGGACCAGCTTGATTCTGTCCCCCTTGGTTCATCTTTGTTGGCTTCAGTGTTTCATTAATGATGGACTTGAGCGCATCCGGAGTTAACTCAGGCTTCTTTGCAGTGTCTTCCTTGTTCGGAGGAGCTGGATGCTTTTCACTTGTCTTTCGTGTGAGATGCTCCAGTGTCTTGAGAACTTTGTTCATCTCCCGGCGGAGCTTAAAGATTTCTTCCTTTAGATCCGCCGTAAACCACACTCGATTTTCCGGTAGGGGGAAATCATTCCGTCTTTGCTCCCACAATGGTCTCGAGAACCAGGAGATTCTGACTCCGCCCTTCTTCTCCATGACGATGGTGATCTTGACTTATGTCTTCTATCTCTCGGAGTTTTCGATCTCCCCCTTCTTGAGCGCTTCCTCCCTTGAGATCTGGAAGATCATGATGAGTGTCTGCGCCACCTCCTGTCCGACGATGATCGTGAACGCGACATCTTCCTTGAAGCTTGGGAACGTCAGGTAGGTAGTCTTCGTACTTGAAATCGATAAAAAACCCCACAACGTCGTTGATCGTCTTCAGTACACACCAGATAAGTAAAATAGAATCTCAAAAAATCGTTGAGTAATCTCCACGCTATAGTAATCTCCAACAAATCGCCACTATGATATCATGAAAGAAAAGGGTTACGAATGATGAGAGAGAAAAAAAGACAGTGAATATAAAATGGAAGAGTGACAGGTCTATACAGTGCCAATCATCGCAGGTACCGCCCGCAAGTTCTAAGCACCGTGCATAGAGATAAACACATGCAAATGTAGACAGAACATTCGAGGTTTTACTTTCACAGCATACACATGCAAATGTAGACAGAACGTGCGAGGTTTTACTTTCACAGCATACACCTAATGTCCATGGCATGCGACACCAATCACGATTACCCTTCTACCTCACTGCTCAGGTAATCATTTCAGCCACTATCCTCAGTATTTATACCTTTTATTCCCAGTCCTTCTCCGCAACTTTCCCTATCCTTGCTGTGTACTCATCATCTATCCTCAGGATCTCCCGCAGTCACTCTATGTGTTGTCCTTGTCGTCATCGATTTCCAACATGCCTTCAATCTGGAGCTACTTTCATCATATCTAATGATTCTGTGCGAGCTAATCACGTACTCTCCTCTCTGTCGGAGTTCCGTCTTACTGTGGTACTTGCCTATAACTCCGTTGTTTTTTTATACTGACTCGAATCTGGCCTTGTTTGTTGTTCTGTTCTTGTTTACTATCATGGCCGTGGATTTTCCTTCATTTCCAAGTGAGTATTTTTTCTTTATTGGTTCGTTTCCACTGCTTTAGGTCTTTCATTTTCTATCTGTTTCGTATGTTTCAAAATGTGAGCGACACTGTTACGTCGTTATATCTGCAAAAATTCCGTGATATTCCAGGGTACTTAGTCGTGCATGTTTCTTTTTCGTCCCTGAAAATTTATTTTCATTCCGTGCAAAATTATATTTTTGATTTTTGATTTTTCGATTTGTGATTTTAGCTTTATATTCCGAGTCGTGTGAATTTCTTGACGTATTTTATTCCGGACTTTCAGTTTTATATCCGTCGATTTGGTGCTTCTTGCTTTTCCAGGTACTCCTGGAATTTATTTCGGACGTCCGCGTTCCTGCAGTTTCGGATGAACGCAAGTATCGCGGCGCGGATTATTCTCCATGGCTATCCATGAGTCGGAGTTCCGGTCCGAACAGGTCAATCACGGGCGGTAGATCCGCCATCTCGTATGTGTTTGCTACCATTCAATGAAAAGTTTCGATAATCGTCAAGGTCTTGGTTCTCTCAGAACCCGCACTCCTGAAGTGACGCAACGTCATGTGTATGTGTGTGTGTGTGTGTGTGAGAGAGAGAGAGAGAGAGAGAGAGAGAGAGAGAGAGAGAGAGAGAGAGGTTGAATGGCAAAATTGAAATATGGGTCAAATTGCGGCCGCAATCTATTTCGCAGTTGGAATGATTTTTTTCAATTTATGTAGCGTTTGTCCTGGAAAGATCACAACAAAATTTACGAGTACTTCAATTTTCAGGTTTTTTCACGCATGCTTCTGAGCGTGAAAACTCATTGAATTTGGAGTACTTTTTAGTTAGCCCAGGCATGGCTGAGTGGCAAAAATGGAAAATGTGTTGAATCGGCGCGACAATTATTTTGCAGTCTAAATGATTTTTTGTAAATGTTTTAATATTATTTCTGGAAAGTACACGACCTCATCTATGAATTCTCAAAAATTTATATTTTTGTGCATGTTCGTCTGAGCACAGAAAATCGCCAAAGTTGCCTCTTGCAAAACGCTTGTTTCGTTGTGCCTGACCTCCCTGTTTTGAGAAGACGGGGCTCAACGCCTGGGCCTGAGGGCCCTTTTGCAGATCACATGCCCTCACTTCTTTTTGGGGTCCGCTTCTACTCGAGGACAGGTCTAATGCCCCCACTTCTTTTTGGGGTCCACTTCCACCCGAGGACCGGTCCTTCGTTTTTTCAAAAGTCCCGGTTCTACCAGAGCTAGCTGTAGGTAGTCCGCAATTTTGCTAAGGACCAGTCCCCCCAATTTTTTTGCCCCCGAAAAACCCACTTGCGTCCTGGTCACCCGCCGCCAAAAATGCGACACCTTGACATAGACGCCGAAGCCCACTATACCGCAGCCTAAGGGCTGCGAATTGGGGGACCGGTCCTTGGCAAAAGTGCGGACTACCTACAATTAACTTTGGTAGAACCGGGACTTTTAGAAAACGGAAGGACCGATCCTTAAGTGGAAGTGGACCCCAAAATAAAGTGGGGGGCGTTGGACCGGTCCTCGGGTAGAAGCGGACCCCAAAAAGAGGTGCGGGCATGTGAACTGCAAAAGGGCCCTAAGGCCCAGGCGTTGAGGCCCATCTTCTCAAAACAGGGAGGTCAGGTGCAACGAAACGGACATTTTGCAAATGGCAACTTTGACGATTTTCTATACTCGGCCGAACCCGCAGAAAAATCTGAAATTTTGAGAATCCATAGATGAGGTCATGTTCTTTCCAATAATAATATTAGAACATTTTCAAAAAATCATTTAGACTACGAAATAATTGTCACGCCGATTCAGCACATTTTTCATTTTTGCCACTCAGCCATGTGTGGGCCAACTGAAAAAGTACTCCAAATTCAGCGAGTTCCCGCGCTCAAAAGAATACGTGAAAAAACCTGAAAATTGAAGTACTCGTAGATTTTGTTGTGATCTTTCCAGGAAAAACACTCAATAAATTAAAAATAATCATTCCAACTGTGAAATAGATCGCGACCGCAATTTGACTCATATTTCAATTTTGCCATTCAACCTCTCTCTCTCTCTCTCTCTCTCTCTCTCTCTCTCTCTTTATGGTAGTCCCCCCCC